CCAGTTCTTCATTCAAGGGTACCTCCATTTTACAGGACAATTAACATATAAAACAACATATGTTCGGCTTCAGGCCTGCATCCCAGCATCTGGATTTCTCTGCTCCGTCTGGCATCTAATAAAAGAACAGAACCTCATAAATTCAACTCAGAAAGCAAAATAGTTTTTATAGATTTATGACAGCCATATAGAGATGTATTTGCTCTATTTGAGACCATGAATATGTAAGTACACTGGACTTCCCAAGCAGTCATAACAAACCCTATTGTTTAGATTGATAAATTGTGAGCATTTGCATAGAATCATAGAATCATAGAATGGCTTGGGTTGGAAGGCACCTAAAGATCATGTAGTTCCAACCCCTCTGCCATGGGTAGGGACACCTTTCACTAGACCAGGTTGCTCAGAGCCCCATCCAACCTGGCCTTGAATACTTCCAAGGACAGGGCATCCACAGTTTCTAGGGGAAATCTGGTACAGTGCCTCACCATCCTCACAGGAAAGAATTTCTTCTTAATATGTAATCTAAACATATTCTTTTTCAGTTTGAAGCCATTCCTCCTTGTCCTTTTCACATGCTCTTGCAAAAAGTCCCCCTCCATCTTTCTTGTAGGCTCCCTTCAGCAGCACAGGTGAGGCTGACAATTGGTAATTCCCAGGATCTTCCTTTCTACTCTTTTTAAAGATGGGTAAAATTTTTATCCTTTTCCAGTCACCTGGGACTTCACCTGACTGCCATGACTTTTCAAATATCGTGGAAAGTGACTTGGCAACTACATCAGCGAATTCCCTCAAGACCCTGGGATGCATCTCATCAGGTCCCATAGTCTTACGTACATTCAGGTTCCTCGGGTGGTCATGAACCGGATCTTTACTTACAGTGGGAATCACTTTGCTCTCCCAGTCCTCATCCTGCTGTCCATCCACTTGAGAAGTGTGGAAAGAGAGGTTGCCATTGAACACTGAGGCAAAAAACTTGAGTTACTCAGCCTTTTCCTCATCTGTTGCTAAGAGTTTACCACCATTGTTTATGGGGGGGTACACATTCTTTGACCTCCCTTTTCTGGTTAACATACCCAAAGAAGCCCTTCTTGTTATTCTTTGCATCCCTTGTCAGGTTCAGTTCCAGCTTCAGCTTGGCTTTCCTCACCCCATCCCTACACAACCAAACTTCAGCTCTATACTCTTCCCAGGTTACCTGTTCTGTTTCCACTGCCTGTGCATTTGCTCCTTTCCTTTAGTTTGACCAGCAGGTCCCTACTCAGCCGTGCTTGCCTCTTGCCTTCCTTGCCTGGTTTCTTGTTCCTGGGGATCACTAACTCTTGTGCTCTATGGAAGACTTCCTTAAATATCTACCAGCTCTGTTCTGCTTCCCTTGTCCCTCAGGGCAGTTTCCCAGGGGATCCTATTGACTATCTCCTTGAAGAGCTGAAAGTTTCCCTTCCTAAAGTTCAGGGACCTAACTTTACTCCTTATCTGATCCATATCCATCAGGATCACAAACTCCACTAATGCATGATTAAGTTAAATGAGAAAATTATACTAGACCTGGGAGTTTTCCTTTAAAACCATATTTCAGAGTTTTTGAGGATGATAAACAGGCCTGATTGATACCATCAACATGACACCCATCCTGGAAGAATTTCTCTCTATCTACGGCCTATGTAGTCCCACAGCTGTACATTAGGTTCTCAAAAACCAGATGCATGTGTCAAAGCACATACAGGATCAGGGCCTATGACACTTTGATAACCCTGGGGTTTTTCTTACACATATTTCTGTTGTTTGAGATGCACACTGGGTTGTTTTCTTTCTGGAATGAAAAGTGCCAGTGGTGTTTGTTTTTATTACTCTCATTCCCTCCTTCCCTGTTCCAGGCAGGAAAGCACTAGCAGCTCTGTCTCATAGGTTGGCAGGAAATTTAAGAAGGCAGTAAGCTGCTGCTTGGACCACCCCCAGGCTTTTTTTTTCCTGTTGATGCAGGAGACTATTTAATTGAGGGCTGATTTGTCAAACTTACTCGTCGATGCTCACCAGTACCTGATTAAACACTGACGGTGATTCTTTCCCTTCCTTCCTCCTCTTTTGGACAAACACCCCACAATGAAGATGCTGCTGAGCCTGATTGCTCTGCTCTCTGCAGCCCTGCTAGTCAGTGCAGCCCCTCCGACTTGCTACTCGAGGGTGTTGTCTCTGAGCAAAGAAATCACAGAGTCCTTTAAGGAGTTGCAGACCTCCAAAGATGTGGTGAGTCCACCTAAAAATTGCTCCTGCACAGAAGCTGCAGGTTGCTGCTTTTGACACGGGTTTCTCTCAAAACAAAATTGCAATGGGTGTTTCTTCTTTCCTGCAGGACTCGTGTGTGGAGACACTGCCCAGGCTGTACTTGGACATACATGTAAGTTTGCACACTTCTTTCTTACTGCTGTGCAGTAAAAGCAGTTTATGAAAAGTGAGAATAATTCTTAAGATTGTACCCCAGAAAAGTGGTTTAAAAGGAATTTTTAAAAGCTTAATTAACCAGAGAGATGAGTGACCAAAAAAAAAATCTTACTTTGAATCTTATTAAAATCCCTTTGGACTTTCTAAGATTTTACTTGATAAAAAAATGAGGAAATCAATATTTTTAAGTGATTGCCATATGTACATCATTAATTTACTGTGGCAGAGCCTTTTCAGAAGTTAAATACATGCAACAAAGTTTTGAATAATAGTTTTAAAAAAAAAATGCAGAATAAAATTTCTTCACTTAATAAATCTACTTAAATTTATATCCTGAGTGTTTTCTGGTAGTTTTAATAAAATAAGTAATAAAATAATAATGTTGTTTCAATTAAAAGAAGTGCAGGAATACCTTTGCTGACTTTTTCTGGTTTAAACAGCCACATGTTGAATCCAGAAAGAAAATGTGCCTGAGGATATGGAAGTGTGATACTCAGAAAAGACAGCAGTAGTCATCTTCCAGCAAAGACAAAATAACCTCCTGCACACACAGTTAATGTCATAGTGTTCTGCCCTGGGATATTTGATATATTTTGCTTCTTTTCCCAGTGCTTCACTGAGTAAATAAAAAAAAAATCAGACAAAACAAATGTCTGACACGTTTTTCCAGAAGCAACTACACCATCAAGTCTTATAATTTAGTACCTCTAGATGCCAGTTCCAGAGCTGCCAGTGTTTTACATTATTGCAAAGGCCAAGCAATGTGAGTCCAGTGCCTCAGTTTCCCTTGCCTTAAACAAGAGCTGGGGTATTTATTTACCTGCTTCACAAGGACATTGTGAAATTCATGTCGTCTGTGCTTTATTTTGATAACACAAATTTTGAGGTAAAAATTACTCTGAAAAAATCTTGACTGGTAGTCGTGGTATTGCCTATTGTACAGGAACAGAACAATCAAGTCTGTGAGATCTTGATAATCGGTTCATTAGCTAAATCAGGCGCTCTCTTAAAAGTGATACAGTGCACCTATTCTTTAGATAACTCCACCTACTACAGGAACAGATTTGATTGCATTGGCACTGCTGCCTCCTAAAGCATGTGAGAAAGAAGCTGGCAGACCAAGACTGTATACATCCACTTTTCCAAGCACTTATTTGGACAAAACATCTTTGTTATGAAATATTGACAGTGAATTTTCCTGACTAAAGGTTACATAGATTACATGCACATAGAGGTAGGAATTCAAGGTTCTCACATAAGCAGTAAGAATTTTGGAAGTGGTGGACGAGGAACATAAATCTGTGTTTGTGCTGGGTTACACAGACCTCTTTTGCGTGTTTTGCAGAATTACTGTGTGTTGGCAAAGCTTCGTGATTTTGTGGCCTACCCCAGATGTGATACAGTGCTTGAAGTGAATGAGCTGAAGGAAAAAGCCCGGAGCCTGTACACCATCTTGATCTCCTACTGCAGAAGGGTAGGTCAAGATGCATCAACATGGCCTCTGCTTTTAGCCCTATCTGTCTCCACACTGTTCCCTAACCAGCAAAACTGGATGAAGCCTGAGCTTCTCAACATTGTGTTATCTTCTGCCTTCCTCCTTATAAATGTTAGCCTTATTTTTTTGTTTGTTTCTGCAGGATTTGGTGTTCCTCACTGATGATTGTAATGCGCTGGAAATTCCCATTGAACACTCCATCACTGAGAGCTAAAAGGGAGTTAACTCAAAAGTTGTACCCAGGAAATTTTCGAGATCAAGAGTCAAAATATATATGTATGCAGTCTACAACATTAACAACTAAGATCTTTTTCAAGCACACTAGCAATATTATCTCAGACCTACCCATTTTTCTCCACCTTGGCAGGAAATGAATTGCATGCCTTGCATACCTACTGAGCTGCTAGGGAACGTACCATTAGGGAGCAGTTTTTCATTTGGCAAGGTATGATATTTCAGCTTAGCCAAATGTATAAAGTATGTTTTGTTTAAACATCAGAAACTAGATATTTTTTTTTTTACTCTTTTACAAATAACTAGACTTGTACAAAGAAAACACTTTATGATTAACATTCTATCCTGACTTAGATGTTCTTTTTTTATTAGATGGGCATGGAAAGGACCATATTTGTTTTTCTTAGTGTATTTGATGGAAGAAGTGTAACTCCATGCTGGCAGATTTCTCTGCCTTTATAGTTCATATATGTATGTTGATAGTTTTTGATGTCAGATTTGTGAGGATGGAGGTGAAAGTAATCTGTCTCCGTGGAAAACTAAATAAAAACAGTCTTATAAAACAAGATGCTTGTGTTACAACATGTCTTTCAAGATCAAGCTGAAAGGTGTCATTCTTGAAAACTTTTCACAGTCACTTGCAAGTTGTTTTTCACAGCATAAGCTTTGTTTCCATAGCAATGCAAACTTTGCTGTGTCTGCATGATCTGACAATGTGTAAATTTCTACTGGGAGAATTTTTCCATACTGCAAACAATTTCCTTAATGAAATTAGTGATTTGGGGGTTTTCAATAGAGTTTCTGTGTTGTAAAGCTTGCATTGTGACCTGGCAAGCAAACTGCAGAGCAAGACGTGTTTCCTTTTCTGCAGAAGCCCATACTACGCTGTCCCTAGAACCGGACCTTGGGTAAATGTACAGGTAACCGTGGTATTTCTGCCCCTGCTGCTTTCCTGTCTCAAGGACACACACTTTCCAAAATGGAGTATTTGATGAGGATTTTCTCATGGATCTTCTCATGACTCCTCATTGTTTTTCTTTATCAAAGAAAATAAGTCTTCCCTAGACATTTGGTGGAACTCATGATCCTAACTCCAGATTTCTCTTGTAATATTCCTACTCTTTTTCAACCACTTTCAAAATATATTTTCTCCTGTTTCAGGCTGATTATCTCTGTGAAGAAAATGTAGCCTAGTTTATTTAGGACAAAATATCTTGCAAGAAGTCTTTGGAACTGGAAACAGAGTAGAAATCTTTATTTGCACTGTTTTCATTAGTAACTTTAGCTTTTTCATGACTGACAAGGACACGCTGTCTGCAAAACACTCTTAGCATGGCTACTTACCAACAGCTCCATTCTATGCTGTTACATCCTAGTTCTGCAGAAGCTGAGAAAAGTAAGTAGATGCTTTGGGGACTGTACATACTTGAATGGACTTTAAAAGCCTATCCTCCATTTGTAGATGCTGTATATTTTATTCCCAGAATCAGGTTTGTTTGATCAGTGGTGTGCTTTTAAAACAAGTATATTCCCTATGGTTTATGCTGTGACTCTCTCTATGTCTCATATGTCATTTTTAATGGAAAGTGTGCTGAAAGCAAAGCTATGCTCTTTCAGTTCACAGTAACCTGCTGTCATTCAGACTGTCTTAATGAGATTTGTGATTAGATGAACCCTTTTTATCACTATGTCTTTTTCCAGGTTGTCACAGTCCAGGGGGGGAAAGAAACTGATAAAGAGATCTAATTCACTTTTAATTTGCCAAGAAAACATCCGCTTCTCCCTTTAAGTAAGACATTAAATTTATCAACTTTTTAATTTACCATTATGCCAGGTACATAAGGAGCAGTGGAGCCATTCATGCAGCTGAGCATTTATTCCTGCAACACAGCAGTTCATGCTCATTAGGGCCCTGGCCAACAGGGAGACTGTGGGGGGATTAAGAAGGACATATTTGTTGTAATTTGGCAACTGGCATCTTGCCTAGTTATTGCAGAATATTACTAAAAGCACATCATTAAGAAACTGCACTCAGTTTTTACAGTCATTAGGGAAGAATTGCAGAAAAACAAAGCATCTGTTCTGTTTTCCTGCCTGTTGAAGGAGGTTTGTTGTAAGGAGCAGTCAATACTAGGACTAGGCTTTCTTTTGTGGACTTCTCTCTCTCTGTAAGAAGTCTCACTAAAGACCTGCCCTAGGACTGGTAAACTCTCCCTTATATTATCAAAGGGAATCCCAAGGCCCTGGGGACTGTCTCTGCAAAACTATTAAAAAAAATTTATTTCCAATTTTGCTAAAAATTTATAGATCAATTTTACTAGAACCAACTCTTTTCCCTTCTTTTTTTCCAGTCTTAGTTAAATGGGTTTTACTTAAGTGGGCACTCTGTTCACTTAACTCCTCATACACTGTTTTTTGGTGAAATCAGGAAATCTTTGAACAGATAATTAGATCATTCAAGGTGGTGAGGTTCCACTGGATACTGTGTGACTTGCTACTAATTAATGTGGTATAAATCTCACGAATTTTTTTTTTAAGCAAAGGAACAACATTAATGCAGCATTGAGGAGGGATCTGATCTTTCAGGCTGTACACTTTACACTTTGAGCAGAGCGTTAGTTTGTGCAAACACCAGGTTTAGGAGTGCCCATTTGCCCATTGCACTTTTTTCAATACTTGTGGTATTTATGGGTTGCGCTAATGGGATGCTGACAGAGATTTTCAAAAAATTTGCTACAAAGCTAAAGTCTTGTAAATAATGTCACCTTTCAAACATTTAACCACTGGACTTTGACCAACATTTTTTTTTTCCACATTAAAATCTTCTCATTTTTGGAGTGTATGGAATTGCAAGTGAAAATTACAATTGACAAACTACAGCAACTTCATTTGTGCAACATTTTGGATTCACACTTTTAAGTTTCCTATGGCCAGGAACCCTGGCTATCCCAGGTAGCAGTTGGCCTGAAAGACTTTTATGAAAAAGTTGGTCTAGAAAGCCCACAACAATTCAAATCAATCCATTCCAGAACTCCTTTTGTTACAAAGTTTTACCTGGTACCCAATTTGCCCTCTCAAAATTTAAATCCTTTGCTTCCTTATTTGTTCATCACAAAAATGGGGATTGGATTGTTATTTTTTTGTCTTTGCAGCAGGTATTGGTATGCTGAAAGACTTCTGTCTCTCCCTATTCTACAAATCCAATTCTTTCAATCTTTCTTCATTGGTCAGAGGTCTAGAAAACATGTCCTTTCTTGTTGCCTTTTTTCTATCTCTATTCACTTGGCTCCCATCTCTTTTGAAACACAGTTCTTGAAGTTAAATATAGACATCCAGCTGAGGCTTTATCAGTGTCAAGTGGTGTAGAAAGAAAGATTTATCAGTAACGTTGTGAAAACAGTAGATTACAAAAGAAAAATTATCTCCAAGTGTCTGGAGACAATGTTTTACTTTTTTATTTGAATTTTAAGATAAATATAGAAAGTTAGAGTACAAGCTGGTCTCATTACTCTATAACAAAGAAAATGTTTTGAGGAAAACAAAAAATAAACAAACAAAAACAACAGATAATGAAATACAATGACTGCTTCTTTTGCTGTCCTGTCCTAACTACTGAACACTTGCCTTCCTAGTCAGAGTGACTGCAGCTAAGTTGCTTTTTGGCAATGGTCTCTGGTCCATGCTATCCTCTAGACCACATCCAAAATTTGTTTAGAAGAGTGGCATCTGCCCCAGGTCAAAACTGTGTCCAGAACTGTTATAACAATTTCTGGGTATAACCAGGCGTGTTTCAACACCCGGAATGTTCCTAACACTAAGCAAATAAATAAAAGACTGATTTTGGAACAAAGTGGTTCAGTCATTCTCCTGAGAGAAGAGCCGTGCTTTCCAGACTGTTAATGCATTTCATACCACTATTGAATTCAAACACAAAACCTGAAGCAGCCCAGGGAACAAACTCCAAATCTTCCCAGTTTCCTTATGATTTTCCCACTGAATAAGTACCGGATAAATGAGTTGGAAAGGTGTTATTCCTATTGAGAGAGAAAGGGAAGCAAGAATGTAATTTTAACAAGCCAAGGTCAGACAGAACACTAATGACCTAGAAAGGGAAAAAATGTTATTTGGACATCACAACTTTTTTCACTTGTTTGTTTTCCATTGATTAATACAGTAGGATCTTTTTCTGCAGTTGCAGAATTTAAGCTATTTTTTTTCCACTGTGAGGTCTCTGAGGTCCATAAGTGTTTGGCTGTTCCTGTCTTCTTATGACAGCTAGACAGCCAGAAGATGGGGGCTTGGAAAGCTGGGGGCTTGGAAAACAGGCTGTTTATCAAAATTTATTGCTTGATCAGGACACAGAGGCGAGGTCAAGGGAGTAAAGAAATACACTGTTCCATATTCTCCCTCTTCTAGTGAATAGGTTTATAACCCAAATCACAAGCCATATATCTGGGATTTACTTGCATTTGATGCCTCCAGGCATCTCTGTCTCTTAGTAGCTGTGAAGTGTACTGCTTGCCTTAGTGTCCTCTGAAATTTTAATATAAAGCCATAATTAATTTTTTTAATTTTTAATTTATTTTTTTATGAGACCTGCAAACTCAGTTCTAGACTAAAGTATGTCATGAGTACCTTTTATTCAGCCTTTACATGAACCAGGATGCATATCTTGGGCCTAAGCCATGTCCAACTATTGCAATTCAGTTGGCTGGGCTAAGCCATACCTCCTTCTGGGGGTATGGAAGGCAGTTGCATTTATGTAGCACTTTCCTTCACTCACTGTTTTTATCCCCTTTAAACACTACTGCCTCATTTGTGTTAAATATCTGAATGTGCAGCACCAAAGAAGTCCTAGGAGCCTGTGTCCTAAGCTTTGCTGAGCTTGTATGGACACTAGGAGAAAGTCTCTGGCCAAATTACTTCCAACAGGCGTTACACATGCCATCTCTGAAATCCTCTTCATCAGAGGTAAAAGATGTCATGAAGTGATGCATGAAAAAGGAAGAAGGACAGCATGACAGTCTGCAGGTGAAACAAGGCTAGGTAAACTTTCACCATCACCACAAAGAGCAAGCAGAAGGTCAGAGCCACATCTTCCCCCTCTCCCATGCCCCAACTCACTGCTCAGCACTGGGGAGAACAAGTGGACTTATCCAGTTGCCTATGATAAACTTGACATAAACCTTGTCATTTTGCCATGACCTAAAGAGTCAAGTTTTCAGCTGATCCTAAGGGTCACTTGGCCACTTTGGCTGAAAACAGAGCAAAGAATGGGGATGGTAGCAAAGAAAAAACAGGCAAGAGCATCCTGCCCCTCTGTTTGTACAAAGAAAGATACTTCCGTTTGCACAAAACTGTTTTCCTCAAACAACTGCACTGCATCAGTCTTGCTCCATTCTCCTGTAATAGCATTTTATCACTTATGTCCTCACAAAGCAGACTTATGCAGAAGAGAAATTATGCAAATAAAATAATTTCTAATCATCACTGTCTTCAAAGGAGGACAACAAAAAGTTGCTCTCAAGAAAATCCATTGATAAGGATAATTATACAATTAGGCTTTCTCAGTCATCTCTTCATATATACAGTAATTACTTTCAACTTAGAATCTTTTATCAGCATGGCATAAAAATCTGGATACAGATGTAGACAGGTGAAGAAAATATCATGAAGTGTTTTATTCACATTAATTACACCTCATAATATCTCTGACAACTCAGAAAGAGATTATTAAATTCAGGCATTGAAGCCTTTAAGCAGACTGCTTATTTTATTATTTAAATGTGTTTTTGAGGATCTAAGTATGAACACTGGGACACAAACATCTTGCCTAGGATCAGACAGCAAATTGATGACAGTGCCAAAAATAAAGCAGATGCCTTTTGAGCCTCCTCCTCTCCACTCT